TTTTTTTTTTTTTTTTTTTTTTTTTTTTTTTTTTTTGGAAAAGGATTTCCCCTTTTCTTTTTCTTTTTCTTTTTTGTACTAACTATCCATAAAATCTCTTATCTCTCATAAATAAATAATTCTTTTATTTATTTATTTATTTATTTATTTATTAAGAAGTAGGATGAGATTTGACTTCCATTTTTTTTCTTTGACTTAACACCTTCTTTTTTAGGGTTTCTTTCTCTCTCTTCCTTTTTACTTTCTCTCTCTTAAATAATGTCTTAATTCCATTCCACGGGTTACAATGGCACCATTGATAGCAGCGGACTTGCGATTATGCAGCACTCATTGGAGCTAACCCAATTCGTTCTTACGTCGCTTAGTCGTAGCCAAGCGACGTATGCTCAAGCCTTTGGCCTCAGTTTAAGAGAAGGTTTTAGAAAACAAGAACAGAGAGAGATTTTTGAAAAAAGACGTTATATAAGCAAAAAAGAGAGTAACAACCACGGCTCACAGTATGTAACCTGGGTAGGAAGAAGTTGACAAGTTCATATAATTTATGTCAAATCATGACGGTTAAAATGAAGTTTTAAAATCATAGACGAAGCTGAATTCAACTACCAACGACCACGGAACCTAATTTTTTATGCTACAAATTTGGCACGAATTTGACTATTGTCTTCTAATTACTCGTACCTTAATTTTGATCGTATTAATTTCGATAACGACTATTAATATAATAAATTTTGGTAGTCAACATAGAATTAAGTTCATAAAAGTGACCAATATAATCATTTCTCTCTCTATCTCATTTAAATATTTTCATTTAATGAATTAAAAATTTTATTAAGCTTTAATTATGATTAAATATTCCGCGAAAAGTGATATGAAAGTTTAATAAGATGGTCGAACGAGTATTTTCGTTAGAGCAATTTTGGTAGGATGGTACTATAATTCGGCTTCGTTCTACTTATAATAGATGTTTGAAGATTACAATTCAATTGTTATAGAGTGGTACCATCGATAGACATAAATATAATAAAACAAACGACAATGTCTAAGTCTTTGCTACTTGTCACTAGTTTGAGATGAACATAGCTTGTATAGAGCACGGTAAACAATGGATATGAATACAGTATGTCGAACAAGTACCATAGTCATATCTGTTGATAAACGACAACATCTGATGTACCAACTCAAACCCTTGTCCTCTTTAGGCTTACCCTTCAAGGGCTTCCCCTTAAGGTTTTAAAACAAGTCTATTAGGGAGAGGTTTCCACACCATTATAAGGGTTGCTTCGTTCTCCTCTCCAACTAAATATAAGAAACGTGTCTACTAGGGAGAGGTTTCCACACCCTTATAAGGAATGCTTTGTTTCTCTCTCCAACCAAATATAGAGAATGCGTCTGCTAGGGAAAGGTTTCCACACCCGTCATTGCTACTTGTCAATAATTTATGATGAACATAGCTTGTACAAAGCAAGATATCTGTGAGATCCCACCTCGATTAGGGAGAAGAATGAAACATTTATTATAAGAGTGTGGAAACCTCTCCCTAGTAGATGGGTTTTAAAACCTTGAAGAGAAGCCCGAAAGAAAAAATCCAAAGAAGACAATATCTACTATCGGTGGGCTTGGACCGTTACAAATAGTACCAACTGGGCGATGTGGCAGTGAGGAGGTTGAACCCTGAAGAGGGGTGGACATGAGGCAGTGTGCCAATAAGGACGTTGGACTTCGAAGGGGCTGGATTGGGGGGTCCCACATCGATTGGAGAAGGAAACAAGTGTCAGCGAGGACACTAAGCTCCGAAGGGAAGAAGATTGTGAGATCCCACATCGATTGGAGAGGAGAACGACGAAGTGATCTGAAAAATGGGTTAGAAGCAAAATAGAGTCAATACAAAACCAAAACCCTGTGATATGAAGAACATGAAGAACAGATACTCAGATTTGAATTTACATTGCTTTAACTTAAAGTTGCCTCAATGATTTACCTTTGAAGTTTTGGGTTTGGTTGAAGTTATGTTAGTAGGTGGGGGTCCAACTCAAGGCCAACTGGGTTCACTTGCCAGCTTCAAACCTATATCAATAATGGGTATTAAAACTTTTGGGGAGCATAGGAATGTAACAATTTGGAGGGTTGTGTCAAAACTTTCTACTTTTCCAGACCCAACACAAAGTTTAAGGTTAGGTTCACTAGGTTTAAACTATTGCCCAAACAACAAACAACTCTAAACCCATAATTTTAGGGCCAGCTGCAAATCTAGAAAACAAATTGTTCGAGTAAAATATCCCTTTCACGAGTTTTTCGCCACCGATATTTGGTATTAAAGACATGATTTTAAGTCCTAAAGTTTCTTTCGATTATCTAGTAACAACGACGGTTAAATCCTTCAGAACTAAGTCTTCAACGTTTGTCTTAATCTGAAACGGTAGAACCTGAGCCTTTGTCCTAGATTGTGTTTGATACATTCATGAACGATGATACTCGTTCCTCGATTTCCTACGTTTGCCAGCCAGCCAACCAAAGATTGGCTGCACTTGATTTTCCTACCAAAATGAAGGATATTGGAGATTCATGTCTGGAGGCCAAATGGGTATCAGCTGCTTGTGAAGTTTTTGAAACAGTGATGGATCAGACACTAGTTTTTGGAACGATCCTTGGTTGGATAATGGTTCCCCTGCTTGGTTTTCTCATCTTTTTGTCTCCTTCCTTCCATGGATGTCCACTTTTGTAGCTTGTCCTATCTTTTCAATTCCGCTGACATACAACAGTTTTAGTCATCCTTGTTTGAAAGGAAAGCGATGTCACATCGATAGGAGAGTGAAACAAAGTATTTCTTATAGGGATATGAAAATCATTCCCTAACAAATGGATTTTAAAATCGTAAAACTGACGGCAATACATAACGAGCTAAAGCGGACAATATCTGTTACTAGTGGGTTTGGGCCGTTACAAATGATATCATAACTAGACACCGAATGGTGTGTCAGCGTGGACATTGGGCCCAAGGGGGATGGATTGTGAGATCTCACATTGGTTAGAGAGGGAAACGAAACATTACTCATAAGAGTATGGAAACCTCTCCTTAACAGACGCGTTTTAAAACCATAAGGCTGACGGCGATACATAACGGGCCAAAGCGGACAATATCTGTTACCAGTGGGTTTGGGCTGTTACAAATGATATCAGAGCTATACACCAAGCGGTGTGTCAGCGAGGACACTAGGCCCAAGGGGGATGGATTGTGAGATCTCACATTGGTTGGAAAGAAAAACGAAACATTCCTCATAAGGATATGGAAACCTCTTCTTAACAGACACATTTTAAAATCGTGAGGATGACGACGTTCCATAACGGGCCAAAGTGGATAATATTGTTGACAGTGGGCTTAGGCTGTTACAAATGGTATCAGAGCTAGACATCGAGCGGTGTGCCAGCGAGGACACTAGGCTCCCAAGGGAGATGGATTGTGAGACCTCATATCAGTAGGAGAGGGGAACGAAGCATTCCTTGTAAAGGTATAGAAACTTCTTCCTAACAGACACGTTTTAAAATAGTGACGCTAACAATGATAAGTAACGGGTCAAAGCTGTTACATAATTTCTTTCGATAATAGATAGGTTTCATCCTAAGTGATTGCTACTTGTCAGATATAAACCTCAAACAATTCAACTTTTTACCAAATATCTTCCTTCCTCTTTAAACAAGCATAGCGTAAGGTCTTGACATACCTTTGAGGAATAAGTTATCACATTCTTTTTTCTTCGCTACTATACAGAAAATTCATCAACCTCCTATGTGCAACTCCATTACTCCCTCATAGCTTATAGTTTCAATCCTCATCATCGGTGGTATCCTTGATAGATGTTACGGCGATGTTGTGCGAGATTTTAAGTTCTTCCAACTGCAACACGATATTTTTTGTTCGATAAGAAACAAGAACTTGCTATAGATAAAGGGAAGTTACAAAAGAATTAGATAAAGATATGGCACCACCGAGAAGCGTTAAGCTGTACAAAATTCCCAAAAAAAACTCTATTTCTGTAACCGTCCAAGCCCACCGCTAGCGGATATTGTCCTCTTTGGCCTTTCCTTTCAGGCTTCCTCTTAAGGGTTTTAAAACGTGTTTGGTAAGGAGAGGTTTCCACACCCTTATAAAGAATGTTTCGTTCCCTTCTCCAATAGATGTGGGTTCTCACAGTTTCATTCCAACCATAAACTCTACGAAAGAGCTCACGAGGCGACAACATTCCATCTTTATTCTCTAAATTCCAGCCCATCAAGTATTCTACAAGCGAATCAAACAGAGGCCACCAATCGATCCCGACAACGTCTAGCAAAGGAAGAACGCAAAAAAAATATGATCCAAAAACTTCACCATTCAAACATAGCAAGCTGATAGAGTGGCCAAGGGCAAGAGAAGGGTTTCTCTTTCGGAGCCTCTCCCGAGTATTTAGACTTACCGTGCGCAACCAACCGAAGCCAAATCTTCACCATCTTGGGTATTTTGAACTCCAAAATCAAACTTAGTGAGCATTTTAAAGCGGACCTAGATGCCACCAAACTAGCAAAGAGGGATTTTGTGGAAAAAGAGGGGTCCAAAGACAAATCAACTCTATCAACAACCACTGTTGCAAAGAGAACTCTACATGTTTAGAGTCATTCAAGCTAGACATGATCGATCTTGTTTGTGGAGTGATCCGAATCTCAAACAAGTGTTCTTTTCTTGAGATATTCGATCAACAAGGTAATCCGAATCTTACTTCCCTTGTAATGATTCTTTATCATTGGTATCAAAGTCTTCCCTTAGGTTGATTCCTTATCATCGAGAAACCTTCCAAAAATCCTAATTTCTCTAAACGATAGCCTATAAAAGCTCTAATTTCTTAAGATTTTCATAGTCTTGTTCTTCATAATATTATATTTTGCACTTTGTTCATAAGCTTGAGAAGACTATTGCATTTTTGTATCATGCCTTGATATCATACAATGAGGAATAGCTTTAAGTCAGGTAACTTCAACACTACCTCTTTACACGTTTCGTGGTGCGCAGCTAAAAGCTCGTCGTACTTGACTCGCAAATCCGCCACCTCAGATTGTAACTTCTCATATTCAGCTACAGATGGACCTCCAAGTCTTTGTTGAATAAATCTGTCGGACAGAGAAAAAAAAGTTAACTTTCAAAGTTGAGAATATTTATTGTATTACTTTCTATAATACAATACATGCTTTTGTAGAATGCTTGACATGATTCAGAAGGAGAAAGAGTTGGCTTTTCCTCACAATTTTCTAAAAATTCTGAAAAAAAGAAACTAATCCAACTTTGTAACCGCAACCGCCCAAGTCCACAGCTAGCAAATGTTATCTGCTTTAGCCCGTTGCGTATCGCCGTCAGACTCATAGTTTTAAAACGCGTCTTCCAATGAGAGGTCTCCACACCCTTATAAGGAATGCTTCGTTCCCCTCTCCAACTAATGTGGAATCTCACAATCCACCCATTAGGGGCCAGCGTCCTTGCAGGCCACCACCCAGTGTTTGGCTTTGATACAGTTTGTAACAATCTAAGCCCACTGCTAAAAGATATTGTCCATTTTGGCCCGTTACGTACTGTCATCAGCCTCATAGTTTTACAACGCGTCTACCAGGGAAAGGTTTCCACACCCTTATAAGAAATGTTTCGTTCCCCTCTCCAACTGTTTTGGGATCTCACAATCCACCCACTTAAGGGTCCAGCATCCTCGTTGGCACACCGCCCGGTGTCTGACTCTAATACCATTTGTAACAGCCCAAGTCCACCACTAGTCGATATTGTCCATTTTGGCCCACTACGTATCTCCATCAGCCTCACAGTTTTAAAACGAGATTTTCACACCCTTATAAGGAATGCTTCATTTCCCTCTCCAACAAATACGGGATCTCACAATTGCTTAGTTTTAAATTTGTCATGTATGTCTCGATGTAGGGAAAAGGAGATTTCTTGTCTTCATCCTCTTGTCTTGTGATGAGGATAAGAGACATCACGAGGGGGAGTCTTTGAAGGGAAAATTCAAAGAGGACAATATCTACAAACGGTGGGTTGGTAAAGCGCTCAAAAGGACCAAAATTTGGATATGGAATCACGACATAAACCCAGTTGAAATAAACTCTGTTTTGATAGCTTATAACACAGAACAGCTACTCATTGTATCATATTATTAGCAGATTCTGAGATTTGATATGGGCTGATGAAGAACATAAAACAAACTGCATTTCAAGAAAGACATTATGCTCATTGAAATAACCTCAACTACTGATATTTGTCCAACAATCACGGAAGCAAGCAAGACATAAGAACATGATCCAAAACCAAAAACTGAAAGAAAGAACTTACTGGAGGGCAGAGGAAGGCTTGTCATTTTGTTCATACAACCTTCCTTTTTTGCTTCTTTTTCCTAAATTGCAGAAAAGGGGTTCGAATTATCATAGAAATAGAGCGATTCAGACAATAGATCTGACCTCTTTGTGTCCCATGGAGAAGAAACACAGTGGTTGAGTGCTCGATTCTTCGATGGTATCCGTCCCCATCTCCACAAGAATATTGGTTTAGAGGGCAGCAGATGAAAACTCATGAACATAAGAACTCATTAGATTCAAATGAAAACTCATGAACATAAACGAAACCTTTTAAAGTTATGATAAGCTAACCTTAATTATGAGACAAGACAAAAGGTTACATAAACTAAGAATCAAGCTCCGATAATATTGAATCCTTGACTCTTAGTTCTTCACAGAATCATTCTATATTACAACACTAATAATCGAAACTCCGTGGCAAGGAACTAATCGAAAACAATCGTAAAACTACTTAATAGAAGTCAGTTTTCACATGCCCTGCTTTTCTATGTACGAATCTTCTCTGCAATTGAATCGATCAACATTCATGTCGGTCTCAGTCCTCTCAATGCAGCGGCAAAGATCTAAACATAACACGAGATCATTCGTTAATTGCGAGAGACATGATTAATAAGAATACAGAACTCTTAGTTGTTCAAATATGCTTCCTCTAAAATGAAAGAGAATGTCGCATGGTGTCACAATCACACTTTTCGACATTCGGCCACGGGCAACACGCCCTAGACGAGTATGACCATGACACATAGCACCAGCAATTTTACGAGCAGCAGTACATTCTTCAAGACTATCTATGATTAAAATCCTTCCATGGTCCTAAGCTTTCAGATATTTCTTCACAGCTCCTCTTCATTAAAACAAGAAAATAAAAGAAGATAAAGAAGGAAAATCTATACCTTAGAAGGAGCTCCATTTTGCTGCTGTGGTTGTGTGAAAAGTGCCTTAGATCGAGTGTGGTAGCTACTAGTTTGTTCCTCGATATTAGCTCGTGGAGCCTCGTCTTGACGAAAGTTGGTAGATTGAGCCTCGTCCGTTCTGGATTTCCCTGCTCTTCCAAAATTAGAAGTATTGTCATGGATAGAAGCTTGGGGGTCCTGATACTCTTTCGAAAACTGAGTAGCAGCTGCTCGAGCACCAGCTATGACAGCATCGAGTTTAGATGACTTCTCCACGTCGGGTCCAGATCCTATAGTCTCGGGAGAACGTGAAGAGACGGATCCTGGCTTCAAGGAAAATGGATCTCTAGGATCTGGAAGTTGAAACTTCACAGGCAGTGGGGATTTAACATGGATGAGACCTCTAACAGCTGCTTCAAATATCTGATCAAATACAATTGGATTTTAGAACAAACAGAAACACACAAAAGAATCATTAAAGAGAGAATCAAAACAAAGTTAACATTTCCACCTTCTTTTCTAAGTTATAAACTCGTTGGTAACCACGCATCTCGAACGGAATCAGTAATTTCTGAAACAGTTAAAGAAATTCCATTCAGTATATTATAACTCTGCTGAAACTTGACTTCGAATCAGTACACACCTGTGGTTGTTCACAGAGCCAGCAGAAATCAGTTTGTGCTTCTAGTCTAACCTGCAGGCTTACTTTTGTTAGCTTTTCTTAGATAAGATGCCTCAGAAACTAAGATATGGATGAGGAAAGCTAGGCTACCCACCCCTTCAGGTACTTTATCCCAACTTTGCAGTTCATCACCATGAACACAGCCAACCACTTCAACACAACCTGAATGAACAGACATGAATGTTGATAATCAAGCATGGGTCTTGTCTGGAAACTCATGAGACAAACATTTATGGCCATAAATTTCATGGGATTTTAATATGATAGATAGTTTTGAACTGTAACAGCCCAAGCCCAAGCCCACCGCTAGTAGATATAGTCCGCTATGGTCAGTTACGTATCACCGTCAGCCTCACGGTTTTAAAACGCGTCAACTAGAGAGAGGTTTCCACTCCCTTATAAGGGGTGCTTCGTTCCCCTCTCCAACCAATGTAGGATCTCACAATCCACCCCCTTAGGGTCCAGCGTCCTCGCTGGCACACCACCCGGTATCTAGCTCTAATACCATTTGTAACAACCCAAGCCCACATTAACAGAAATTGTCTTCTTTGAGTTTTCCCTTTCGTTATTCCCTCAAGTCTTAAAATGCGTTTGTTAGGGAGAGGTTTCCACACCCTTGTAAGGAATGTTTCATTCTTCTCTCCAACCGACGTAAGATCTCACATGAACCTATATCTGAAAGTCCATAGTTCAACACATCTTTCAAATTTATTATGCTCGAAAGTAACAGCCTAAGCCCAAGCCCGCCGCTAGTAGATATTGTCTGCTATGGTCCATTACGTATCGCCGTCAGCCTCACAGTTTTAAAACGCGTCTTTAGAGAGAGGTTTCCACACCCTTATAAGGGATGTTTCGTTCCCCTCTCCAACAGATGTGAGATTTCATAATTCACCTCCTTAAGGGCCCAACGTCCTCGCTGGCACACCACCTGGTATCTAGTTCTGATATCATTTGTAACAGCCCAAGCCTACCGCTAACAAATAATGTCCTCTTTGGGCTTTCCCTTTCGAGCTTCCTCTCAAGGTTTTAAAATGCGTCTATTAGGGAGAGGTTTCTAAACCCTTAAAAGGAATGTTTCGTTCTCCTCTCTAACCTATGTGAGATCTTACATGAATCCATATCTAAAAGTCGATAGTTCAACATATCTTTCAAATTTATTATGCTCGAAAGTACTCTCGATGTCGATATTTATAGTCATTTTTAATTACAATTCCCTCTCCATATTCTCATATCATGCATACTCAACCGACACTGTAAGTGTGCACGTCATGAAAATCTGCAGTCATATAACATAAGTAAGATGCTCAAAATCAGCCTAACAAGTGATGATTCCACCAAGTGGCAAACATAACATATGTCAGAACATAGAGACAAATATGGATTCAGAGCATAGACACCAAGATATCAATCAAAACAACGATGGTGTTGCCGTAATGGTAGACTTCAAATAAGTACTTCATGGAATGTGATCGGTAAAGCGCCAAAAGAAACACAAGAACCAGTAAAACATAAGTAATATATCATGAAAAATCATCAGATTTGATACCTAAAAGCCTTGAAACAGGATAATGTTCTGGAAACTTAAGATCAGTAATTCCATCCAGAGCATAAACTTCTCTATAGAAATCCTCCATTGCTTTGATCGTAGAGTCCTCAGGAACCTTACTTGCAGCATGAATCCAAAGACGACCTTCAGTGATCAAGTTCAGAATATAGAATCATCCTTTACTAAACCACATCCACAAAGAAAGAAGAAATAAACTAACAAAAGATATGCCAATAACACAATCATTTAGAGTTTAGGGTTGGATGATTCAAAGGGTCAACAGTAAAGCAACTTCGAACACATGAACAACGCCCAATTCTGCTTCTCAATTCCAGTTTTCTTTTGTGTTATTCGAACATTCAAACGAAAGTAGATTTGAAAGGACAGAACGAACCTCTGAGGGGAGCAGACCAGGACCTGCCCTCGATGCGTTTGATTCCATAGACCAGCAGAGAAGCCCATGGCTGATGCATCGTCAAACATGGGTTCGAAAAATTCCCAGAATTCCTTCCTTTCATCGTTTCTTCTCGCTAAGAGATGCAGAGAATTGGGAACCAGTGGCGGGTCGGGAGAAATTGAAAACAATTGGGTTTGCGAGAATCGAGGGTTTGTGGAAATCCTCGGCAAATATCTACCGTTTTATCTTATATAATTACAGATTTTGAAATTTTTATAAATTAAGATAAGAAAAAAATTTAAATTTTAAATTAAAAAAAGATAAAATCGATTATCTTCTATATTGTAATAGGATTAGGAAAAATTAATATTAATATTTAAATAAACTCAGGACGGCTCACAGAGTACTCTGCGATTAACTCCAATTTGAGTAATTCTTAGGAAGAAACAACAATGTCTGATAATCTAGACTCCATCAGCTCTAGCCCGTTTCATTGGATGGACAATTTCAACCAAATAGTTTGTAGAAAGAAGAGGACTCTAGTTGAATATATCGACTGTCCTGGCCATGAGAACCCGAACGTGTCGCCGACGCCGATGAACAGAGATGATCCAGAAGCCGGAAATCTGTCTGGGGTCGTGAATGGCGATAGCCCAATTGCCGAAATCCCACCGGAGCCGATGAATGAAGATGACCCAGATGAGGAAATTCAGCCTGTGGCGGAGGAGGAGATGCCGGCGGAGATGAGAGAACATATAACGGAAAGAATGGGTGGTTACCGTGTGCAAATGATAATCGAAAAGAAGTTGACGGCGACTGACATGAGGACGAATCAAGGGCGGCTGTCGCTGCCGAAGAAGATGGTGAGAGTGGAATTTATGACGGCGGAGGAGGAGAAGATGTTGGAGCACCGGAGCAAAGGGGACGATGAATTGAACTACATAGACACATTCATAGTGGGATCCGATTTAAAAGTGAATCCAATTCGGTTCAAGAAGTGGCTAATGGGAAAAAATTACGTGAATTGTTTGGTCAACAAATGGAACTCTTTTGCTCGAGCTTATGGACTCAAGACAGGAACTAAGGTTCGTGTTTGGAGTTTCAGGGTCGATGAAAGGGACGAGAACGACGTTATTAAATCTGAATTGCGCTTCGCCCTTGTCAAGATTTAAGATGAATTTATGTGTCTTAGGCGACATGGTTGATAGAAGTTTTCGTATGTATGTCCTCATTGTTCATAACGATTGGATGATGCCTACAAAACACATAACGTTGTAGCATCTCTGCACTACATTGATCGTAATTTTGCTTTCTACATTACAGCGTGTTCTTTGAATATATATTTTTTTACGGTGGTTCAATCTTATCTAATTGTTCGTATATTTCTCGAGATTACGGAGAATTTTTTAGCAATAAAAAAATTAACAATAATTAAGCCTTACAAACGTATGCTATGAAAGTCTTGTCAGTAGATAAATTTTAAATAAAGTTGCAACGTTTATTAATTTTGAGCCCAAATTTAATGAAAATTATCTTTTTAATAAAAATAGTGACGTAATTTATATAGTTATCTAAATCATTAAATTTATTGCGCCCTCTTAAACAAACAGTTCGCGTGGCCTAATGGATAAGGCGCTCGCCTCCGGAGCGGGAGATTGTGGGTTCGAGTCCCATCGTGAACGCTTTTTCTTTTTCTTTTTTATTATTATTATTTTTTAAAATAATTACTTTCCAAAATCCAAGGTATTTTCAAACCTCCTTGTAGTAATTTTTTAGCTACAACTTTTTTTTTTTAATTACTTTCTAAAATGGTCAAACTAGGAGGGTTAAAAAAGTGGACTAACCCAACTCGAATATGAAGGTTGAATTCGGTTAGAGAAACTGTTTGATTTTGATTGAATTCAAATCGATTTAACTATATGTCAATCGAGTCAACTCAAGACACCACGGTACTTGGCCTGAAACTCCCATGGAGCCGTTCAAGTTAAATAATGATTCAACAGCGAGTGTCGAAGTTGACGATGACATATGAAAAATGACCCAATTGCCCTCCTTAATTACTTGGCCTGAAACTCCCATAGAGTCGTTCAAGTTAAACAACGATTCAACGAAGAGCGTCGAAGTTGACGTGACGTACGGAAAATGACTCAATTGCCCTCCTTAGAGAACCTCATATATGTTGTTGACCATAACAAAATCAGGGGCTTTGAGGTCATGCATAGGGATTAATATAGACCTATGATATGGTAGGGTTTGTAGACTAACCAACCTAAACATTTACATTTATGGAATAAAATTTGGTAGTAGAAGATGGCTGTCTAAATAGGGCACTAAAAATGAAGGCTGTACCCTTATTTAGGGTATCCCCATGATTTTAGGGCAGCCCTATCTCTAGGGTTACCATTTCCAGGTGTGTAGAATATAGAATAGCCTGATTTATTTTTTTTTATTTTTCCTTCTGGAATGTCACACCTTGTAGTTTGTAATTAATGTCTGATGATGAAGATAAATTGTTGACTAAATAAAGTCAAATGCAGCCATATTATTATTAATAATATTGATATTTAGCATCTCTGGTAGTTGGAGTCGTGTAAAGAGCGTTATATTTTCGTGGACGTGTCGATATTTTTATACGTTCATGCGTTTGAAATCGAGATAAAGAGTGAATCAATATTTTTTTTAGTATATCGTAAAAGAGTAGATAAAAAAAAAATAATAAGTAGGGTATTCATGTGATCAGATAATTCGACCAACTCGGATTACTCAACCCAAATTATAAAAGTTTGGATTGGGTCAGTTTCTGAGTTCACTTTTTTTTCTTTTTTGTCGGGTACACCCGACCAACTTAAAAATAGGGTTATAACTCAACCAAACCCTACCCTACTTTTAAAATTATTATGAAAATTAAGAATATTTGACGTTTGATACTAATGTTAGTGATATGTTGCAACTTGTTGGTGCTATGTTAGTGATTTTTCAGCAAGCATTTTAGTAAAGTCGGAATTCTCTTCGGTTTAGTTTCGGAAAACTTGTTGGTCGGGGAGGTGGAAGGGAGTTTCGGGAACAAAGCCACGAGATTTCAAAGTAGCACATGGAGTTGTACCAGATGAGACTCCGTGAAGTAAGCATGGGCTTTTGGTACACATATCTTCCAATGCCAATCAAGTTCTCGAATTGATCATTCCCCTTACCTTTTGAGCTGAGTTGAGGAAACCGACGTTGAATGCTGAAACTTAGCCACTAAAGAAGGCAAAGATTTGGCTGAATTGGATTGTAAATTCTGTTCAGATTACTCGAGAATTAGTTATAGTTACTTTTTTTTGTTTATTGGGTGGAAAATGGTTGACAAAGAATTTGCAAAATATCTTGATTAATGATTCCCACTATCATATTATTGCTATATTATTCCAATATGTATATTTATAAGTAATTCATATTACAAAAAGTTTTATATTCTATTATTTTTTATACAATTTATTATTCATTTTCATTTTTTTATTCCCAACTTTTTATTTTCTTTTTCTTTAATATTTCACTTAAGTGTACCGGTACCAAAGAATAGTCAAAGTTATGACCGATAAAGATAGATAGTGATGTTTACGAAATTCGGTGACTTAAAAGAACTCGATCAATCTAATCCGAGCCTCAAAAGCTAACCCAAGACATAATCAAATCTTGAGGAAGACGAAAAATCAAGCCAAGGGCTAAGTTGTCAATCTCGACCTCTTGCATACCCTCGACCCAGAGCCCTTCAGTAATCCTATTTTCACTTCTTCATTTCAAATTCGAGAGAGAATAATATAATTCTACGTTAATCCTTTTATACATACCTTAGAATTCTCCAGAACTCTTTTCTCTTAAGCTCTTGATATAGCCAATAACTCCTAAACTAACTTGAACAGAGCAAGCAGCATGACAAGTCGCCTCTTCCTTGTATTACAAATTTACTATTGAGTCACGTGCATGGTCCAACGAGCCGAACGTGTACATATAAACACTTTGGATTATTTATCTCAACAAGTACGTGTATTAAAAGTATAAATCCTTGTACTTAGAATTCATTTGAATACAAAAAGAAACAAACCCTAGATCATCAAGATCAAAAAGGATGAACAATTCATGCACGCGCCAAAGAGTGAGTGGGTGACAGCACAATTGTCCTTTTACCAATGGTCACCATCAACTCTTTTCACTGCTAAACTTGTCATCTTATGCTTCTTAACTTTACTCCCATCTCTCTCTCTCTCCTCTCTTTCTCTCTCTACAGCCCTCAACTCTCAGTTCTCTATCTCTTTACACCAAAAAAAACTCACCTTTTTGTTCTTCTTCTGCCAAGAACACATCAAGAACAGCCCTCTTTTGGCTTTAAAACATGATCATTCTCGATATCAATTGTGTTTTTCTCATCATGCCATGCAAAACCCACTTGGTTTTTTCCTTTTTTGATCTTCCATTTTGAGTCTGTTCTTGATTTTTCATGTTTTTTCTTCAAAAAAACCCTAAATTCAGAACTGGGTTCTCTTCAAAACACTAAAAGATTACATTTTTATCATACCCATAACAATAAGTTTCGATCTTTCAAGAGATTTCTCTATTTCCTTGCTGGGTTTTGTTGCTTTTTGTGATCTTTTAATGGATTTGTTCTCAAAATCATCATCCAATCCCATACCCATACCACCCACCACCACCACAACCACCATCACCGCCGCCGCGTGCTCGCCGTCGTCATCCTCTACCACCACACCAAGCCGGTATGAGAATCAAAAACGGCGAGATTGGAACACGTTCTGTCAGTACCTTCGCAACCACCGACCGCCGTTGGCTCTACAAATGTGCAGCGGCGCTCACGTGCTGGAATTTCTCCGGTACTTAGACCATTTTGGGAAGACCAAAGTTCACAACCAGACCTGCCCGTTCTTCGGCCTGCCCAACCCGCCAGCTCCCTGTCCCTGCCCGCTCCGACAGGCTTGGGGCAGCCTCGACGCCCTCATCGGCCGCCTCCGTGCAGCCTTTGAAGAGAACGGCGGCCGGCCGGAAGCCAACCCATTTGGAGCTAGAGCTGTTCGTCTCTATTTAAGGGAAGTTCGTGATTTTCAAACGAAAGCAAGAGGTGTTAGCTATGAGAAGAAGAGAAAAAGGCCAAAGCAAAAGCAAAAGCAAGAGGGTGCAACTTGAACAAGAACACACAACAAATAAGAACATTGAAATTTCATAATTACATAATATGTAAGAGAGTTCTGATCTCTCTCTCTCCATCTCTCTTCGTATTTTCAATCCGTAATTGCAAACGTTCTAACGAAGATTCGAATCTTCAGTTGAGCCATGTTCATATTGGCTCTCTCCCCATTTCCAATTCATAATTACAAACAACAAAGATTCGATTCTTCAGTTGAGCTATGTTCATATTGACTCTACCTATTTCCAATTCGTAATTGCAAAAGTTCTAACGAAGATTCAAATCTTGAATCTGAATAGTTGAGTTATGTTCATATTGGCTTTCTTCTCTTGATCTTCCGATCTCGTTCGACTTCTAACTTCAAAGGTAAATATTTATGATTACGATCGATATTATATCTTAAAAGCCATGTTGTTTTCTTGATCTTGTGGTGATTTTGAATATGAATTAGTGTTTGTGGGCAAATTTTGATGGGTTTGTTCTTGAAATAAATTATATTCCAATTAAGCTAGGGTTTCTTTTTCTCTTTCATGTTCATCAAAAACAGTCAAAACTATTTATTAGGGCTGTTTTTTGGATTAAAAACACAATCTTTTCAAAGATCTAAACAATTGTGCAAAAAGGCAAAACCCTAGATTAATTTTAGTTTGAATTGAAATGAAAAAAAAAAAAGAAAAAAAGAAGGGTTTTGTCAAAAGATGGAAACAAAAGAAATGAGACAGCCAAGTCCCTCATGTCTAGAAATAATTGACAAACACTTGAATCATGTTTTAGGGTTTACTTCTATGATCAATTTTGATTATTATTTTAATCTTTTGTGTAGATGATTGCTTAAGTAGTTTTGATTACGATAAAAGTTCGAGAACCGACCTTTTGAGGTGTGTATCTGATCTGTTAAATTTTTAAACCGTCTAATGGAACCCACTGAATTGAATTGAGTTGAATTCGAAATTTGAGCATGAATGGATGTCCTTTTTGTTCATTGGTCCTCTTAATTAGTATTTATATTCGTGATCATACGCATGGACAAAGGGGAGAAGGAAGGTTGCCTCCCTCTCGGGTTGTCTTTGATAAACGACTGTGTTTGATGACTGTTGAGAAGATTAAGAATATTTGACGTTTGTAACCGATCTTAGTAGTGCATTGTGACTTTCAAATGTTTGATATTTGAACTTTATAGGATTTTAGTTACTAATTTAATATGTACGGTGGATAACAACCTGACAACCAAGTCTGAAACTAGAGAGTTGGATTGTGAACCTACCTGAAATTTAGAGTTGGTCCAAAAGATTTTTTCAATTGAACCTAAATACACTTGTAATGACCTAGATCCAGCGCTAACAGATGCAAATGGCATCAGAGTTAGACACCGGACGATGTGTCAGTCTTCTCGCTGTTCCCTGAAGGGGGGTAGACACGAGGCGGTGTGCCAGTAAGGACACTGGCCCCAAAGGGGGGTGGATTTAGGGGCGATCTCACATTGATTGGAGGAAGGAAAGAGTGTCAGCGAGGACGCTGGGCCCCAAAGGGAGGGTGGATTGTGATGTTCCACATTGGTTGGGGAGAAGAACAAACCACCATTTATAAGGGTGTAGAAACCTTCCTCAAGTAGACCCGTTTTAAAGCCTGGAAGGAAAAACTCAAAGAGGAGAATATCTGCTAGTGCTGGATCTAGGACGTTACAACACTGCTAATAAATTATTATTTAATAAGATAAAACATCAATATTTAATAAGATAAAACATCAACAATAATTATCATTTCAAACACGAACTATTTGATATGTCACGTTACAAAAAAAAAACATGTTTTTCATTTATAAAATTAGTTACAATAATTCAATAAATACACAAAACATTGCTCTTTTACCTAGGGAGACTATAGCTTTAGGTTGGCTCTTTTTAGGCAATGACATGAAATGACTACGTGAGGGAAGAAACTCAATTTTTTCATATTGATATGCCATGATTTCGTAGGGCACGTATACAACTACGGACGGTTCTCGAGTCTAACTCAACTGGTTTAGGTATCTTCTTTCGATGAGAATGTCAAATGTTTGAATCTTTATTTTTCAACCTATTTGTTGTTGAAAAAAGTAGTACGAGACTTTCTCGATAAAGCTAAATCTAACAAAGTCCTACATGCAAGTCACTTCGTTGTGTCAACAATATCATGTCATTTGTAGACACTGTATACCGAGATGAACCGGATGTAACTTTTTCAATAAAGTTGAGATCTAACAAAGTCCTACGAGCAAGTCGCCTCGTAGTGTGGACAATACCATGTCATTTGTAGTATTCGGCGAAAGAACAGTAGTAGTGTATAACGAAATAATTATATTTTTAGTTTAAATTAAACAACATTATTTTTTTTCCAGTTAATAACAGACGAGACAAGATGAAACCATTAACTTTTGGATGATAATTCATGTCCGAGTGTAACAACTCTATTTTTACTACTGAAATTAAATTATTATTAATATGTTCATAATAAAATTATTAAATAGGTACAACAGCATAAAAATATGATATTAAACACAACTAGTGAGGAACTAACCATCAACGGTTTATTTTTATTTAACTAATATTTTAAAATTCAATAACTAAAAATAAATTAATTTTGAAAGTTTAATGATAAAAAAATAAAATTAGCTTGTATTTTCAATTTAATTAAATTAACAAAATTCAACCATTTTATTTTTTAGGGAAAGAAAAAAAGAAAAAAATGAAAAAATTCACTAAATATTTTAAAAAATGAGGTTTTTCACGCAATTAATTTTAATTAAATTCCACCTGGGGACACGTAAGGGCAAAGAATAGTCGTACAAAGATCCCGCAATCTGCGGTCAACTGGATGGGACGTCGGTGGTTGACACGTGCGCTTCCATGTGGTCCCCACAGTCCTCGTGATCCCACGTGGATCCATGTACTCCTTGTCGGCAACGGAGACGCTCCCTTGTTTCCACTCAGCTCGGCTCGGTTCTGCCACGTTGGACACCTAACAACCGTCGATTCCGCTACTAATAAATCCATCGTACGGCCCAAGAGTGGGTTCATGTTACCTTCCGACAAGGCGATGCATCGTTTCTATTTATGGTATTTAATTTTCTCGAGATTTGCTATTTTTAGAGTTTAATCAACATAAATTTAAAAAAAAAAAACTAAATTAATAATAATACTAAAATTTTCTATTTTATCATTAAAAAAAATATTCTTAAATTTAAAAATTTAGAGAAAATATTCTTAAATTTTTAAAAATATTTAAAAACAAATACGGTTTACTTTAATTTCAAATAAAAGATCGTTAATATTTTCTTCCAAACATACTTTTTTTTAAATATTTTTTTAACTTCAAAAAGTATTTTTAAAATACTTTTTTATACTTTTCAAATTTTCAAAAATATATTTAAACTTTTTTAAAAAGTTAAAAAATATTATCGTTAGTATCATACTTCAAAAATATTTATGAAGCAATAAAAAATGTGAAAATAATCTATAAGGTGTTGATAGATAATTTTTCGTTCA